CTGACAACAAAGGACACAGGTCAATTCAAGAAAGCTTCTCAATCTCCTTATCCATGTCCACTCAATTCCTTGTGCCAGTACTTGCAAAATCAAAAAAAAAAAAAAGTTTACTGAGGAGGGCGAAAGTGTAGGAGCCTAGGTCCCGTCCAAAAGTAGAAAACCATAGCCATCTGTTGTTTGTGTTATATGGATTTTACAACTGTCATTTCCACTGTGCACTCCATTTCATCTTCACAGCAATATCACTGAAACACCCACTGAGACAAAATCACAAATATTTTGAACATACTGTATGATATGTTATTTTCCAAATTAATATTTGACAAAGTCACAATGAGAACTTGCCCGTTGATTACGTTTGAGTTGTCACCTCAAAAATGCTTTAAGGATCTGCTACTATATGAAAATTGTTAACCTGAAATTTGAATAACTTAGGAAATATAGAAAAAGAGAGAGAAAGCTACTAAATATTGTATTTTTTGACTGTAAGAGTATTTTGAAAAACAGCAATGGTCACTATTTATACTTATTTAGCATCTTTCATCAAAAAGTGTCCCAAAGTGTTTTTAAATGATTTGTTTAGAAAAATCTTACAGAATTTCTCTTTTGAGATTCAGACCAGCAAGACCATCCCACATCTCACAGCTGAGTATGTCTCAAAAGATTAAACAGCTCTCAAGCCAATCTCTGTAACTCAATGTCACACCCAAAAAGTTTGAAATAATATTTTTGAATATTTTTGAAATAAACTAAAACAAACTGAAATTGCCCTTGGAAAAATGATAGAAAATATTTAAAGTAAGAAAGCCAAGTGTTTTTTTTTCCCCTAAGGAAATCTACAAGACAAGGTCATCTCTGTCTGAAATGAACAGACACGTCACATGGCTTTCATGGCTGCCACTAAGGGCGCTAGCAAACTTGCACTGAAAGTGAAGAAAATGTTTCTTTACTGGAAATAGATTGAGCTTGGATAAGAACCTTTTTAATCACCCTTAGCTGGTTAATGCTGTGCAAAGTGAAAAGCGAAGTTGTGAAAAAAAGAAGAACAAACTGAAAGAATTTAAAGTCAAATATATTTGGTCTTTTTCTTAAATTCCTTAACTCTTTGGGTGTTAGTGCATATATATGACTTTATAAGGATACGTAGGTATATATTATATATATACCTGTGCATGTATGCATACATTTTATATACATTTGTGTACATCACACACATACACAAACAAAAGCTGCCCTGCCGATTTAGCTCAAATACTTCCATCTTATCCCAACTTCTGTCTTTCAGTAACAAAAGTTTGGTGGTTTCAGCCACGGTCCCTGGTATGCAGAAGTCCACCACAAAACCATCATACTTAATTTAAAAAAATTGACAGTCTCTGCTCAAGAGAGGCAGAAGACTGAGTTGCCATGGAGACTGAACTACTGCTCTTCTCCAGAGGATGATTCCTTCAAGAACTGGCTGAACAGGAGAGGCTGTCCAATACCTGTAACCTTGATCACATCATAGGATTTTGCATTTTGGGATGGCTTTTAAGTAAACTCTGACAAACATCCAGGAGACAAGAGGGGGAAAAAATAGATGTATGGGCCTACTGCTTGAGAAAGCAAAAAACATCACTAACAACAACAACAAAAAAACAGCATGAAAATGCATATTACACTAGATTAAGAGGGGAAAAGAGTTTCATATCGATTTGATTTATCAGATTTGTCACCTCTGCTTAGTGCTTTCCTAACGGAGTGTATGCTGTGCTTGACCTATTTGCTGGAATTAACCAGGACTCCAGGAGACCATATGGATTGCCAGATGGTCTGCTATAATTTAATGTCATTTATTCTAAGTATGAAGTAAGTGATAAACATAATTAACATTCCTTTAGCTCCTTACTGGATGCCTTTTATTAGTTTCCTTTTTCTTTCTTTTTTTTTTCCAGGCCTTGAAAGATAAGTTAATACCTTGTTACTGAAACACAGATGCCAGCTAATTACTGCAAGAGGCTGCAGCCTCCAAAGCAAAGAGCTCCTGCACAGATTCTAACTTATTCATTGACCCCACTGTGATGATTAATAGGTTGAACGCTAAGCTCTAATGAGGATGACAGATCTTAGATGTTTTCAGGTTACATTAATTAGTAGTATGATGAACAGAGTGTTCATCACAGACATACATATCACGCTTCATTGTAAACAATGCACCTTGTACTCATGATCTTAAAGTGTATTTCATATTGCAGTACATCAAATGCTAAGGAACCCAAACCACCTTCAGACAGTACAAACAATGGAATGATTTCCTTCAGAAATGTTCTTCCTGATCGCTATTTCATATTCTGCCAGTGATTGTCTGAAAGGCCTATTTTTTAGGAAGTGGTTCTAGAGAAGCTATGGCTTCAAAGAATGTTTATGTAAGACAGAGTTGCTCATTCTCAACATTTTAAAACTATGCTTCTATAACAAGATATTTGAACAACTCTGCCTACTGTCCCTGTGCTGACAATCTTTACAGTCAATGGGTAGGGGTTAATATGTCAATAATGAATAGTAAACCATCTTGTAATATTAATGTCAATGTACAGATGAAGTTAGTAAGCTAGTATTCATAACAGTGAAAGAAGTATTAGAGAAAAGGCAGAAGTACTGAGTGCTTCGTATTTTAAATTAAGTGTTGTGCACATTGGAATCAGTATATAAAAATGACCACAGCTGATCACCCTCTTGTTATTATCTATACGGTTAATAAAACTTGGATGAACTTTGAGATGACAGAAATGACATGAATTGAATGTTATTTAAAGATGAAAATAAAAGAATAGCAGCTGTGTTACAAATAAAATCTTCCTTTATAAAATTTAGCTATGATTAGAAAAAGTATTTAAAAAGAGTCAAGGTCAAAAGTCATAAACCAAGAAATGGGGAAATAAAATGACACTTTTTAACATCTGTACTCCTTTCTTATTTCAAACAGGCCCAGAACTCATTTGGGGGCCTCCATAGGTACCCATGTTCGCTCTACAGTACAAATATGGGCACTACATATGCATCCTGAAGAAGCAGCTCCTGAAGAGGGGACATGAATGTGACATGCTTTCCATGTGCAGGGCTGCCATGAGGACTACCTTTGGAGGGCTTGCAGATAGGCTGTCCAGATATGCCTGGCATGACAGCAATCAAGTATGCTTGGGCACATGAAGGACACATATTCCAAAGGGAAACACATTTCCAAGCTCACATTATCCATAAAAGCATTCTAGTTTGAGGGTGACATGGCCATAACACAGTACAAATACATCTGCTCTTTTACTCTACTCTTGGATGTATCACCAGATTACTTCTTCACTTGGTGAATTTTCTAATGACTGTTGCTGCTTCTACAAAATCCTTTATGATTCTCTGCTAGCATATGAATAAGAATGGAATAAAAATATCTGAACAGCAAGTTCTTATTGAAATTGACACCACTTATGTCCTCTTTATAGGGTCTCTGTCTCTGCTAACATAAATTACTTTATCAGCTGGTAAAATCACAAAGAGTTTTCATTAGTTTGCTTCCAGTATCACTGACAACAAGATTTTATAACAAGATTTTAAAACTTATTTCCATACAAATAGGTACTTACAACAGGTACTTACAGGGAGCAACTCAGGTAGCCTGAATCCCCTTTTTTATGCACCTATCTCTCTTCACTTACGCCTAGAGGAGCAAGGGTCATTCAGGTGTCAAAACTTAGAAAAATGAAATCAAGGGAAAAAGTTTACTATGCCAAAGACTTTGTGCTTCATTTAATAGAATGATTAAGTTTACTGCACCTGACATTACTGTACTTTACTATTATACAGATAACCCTTCTGAAAAATATTGGTGATCCTCTTTAATGATTAAAGATACTGCACCTGACTGTGCTATTGCATAGTGTTTTCAGAACATATACAGTGTGTATCTCTGTGTGTGTGTGTGTGTGTGTGTGTGTGTGTGTGTGAGAGAGATCATCATTGCCAACATTTTGAGATGTTCCAAGTGGGTAACATAACTTTCAAAGAAAGTTTCTCATAACTTTCAAAGACAGGTCATTAAAGGACAGTGTCAGATGTACTGCTGGAAATAACCTCCTATTCAGACCTCTGGACCACCTGCAAAACTGGTTTTCCTAAGTAGCAGCTAGCTCCTATTAGTACTTTACAAAATATCCCAAAAGAGTGCAGGAACAAAGCATAATTTAACAATTAGTCCTTGAGAAATATAAAAGATGCCATGGTAGGTTTTGCACTTAGTACTTTAAAACAGCTTTATGCTTTAAAATACTTTTTCATCTGTCTTGATCTTTACTAGCTTCCTCACAAGAATAAAATTGTCTGAGAATATTTGCTCACTGTTCATTTCAACCTCAAGAAGTCGATTGTCTATAACTCAGTTGTTATACAGATGGCATACATGAAATGTGGCTGTCAATCTAAACAGAAAGTAACCATGGGATTTTATCTTAGAACAAGTAAGGACAAGATATGAAGCACCTGCCTATAGAGGATTACCTGTGGCAAACTAGAGGACCTTCGCTGTCATAATAATAATTTTCTGTATTTAAACTACAACATGTGATCTATTGAGAGACCTGGCTGAGGCAGTGGAAACTGAGGAAATGTGCCCCTAGTCCTAGGAGAAGCTACTTGGACATTGCTTTGTTGGAAAACGTGGTTCTCAGAAACTGTCAATTTAGGTCAAAATTACAAAATAGAATTAGGTACAAACAAACAAATTAGAAAAACAAAAAGATCGAAGGGGAAAATGAATAGAAAGAGATATTAAAAAAATTAAAAGGGAAAGTAAACGCTGCTTTAGTGACGACGTGGTTACCAAAATTCTGTAGTAAACTATGATACAACAAGAAAGTGTGTAGTTAGGTAAATTCATGAGGTAATAATGAAAAATCAAGTAATAATTAACTTTAACTGCTTTAAGACCATACAAACAACTATGGTTTCTACCAATTTCATGAATGTCTTACCTCCTGCATACATGACAGCCAACATTATTGATGATATCCAAGCTATCTCACTATATGATGTGTGGAAGATTTCCTGTATTTCTTTGAAGAATACTGTGATGGCTTTGGGGAATGCATAGGAAAATCCGATGGAGATAAAAGCCCCAAAGACCACAACCCATCCCCAGCCTCCATCTGGGGGTGGGTACTGTGGCGCTGTTACTGCTGGTGGCATTTTCGGTCTATGTCTCCTTTCCAAAGAGGCTGAAAAAGAAGAGCAGAAATAGTGTTTCAAATAATATTCCTTTTGTCTTTATCAAACTGCTGTATCCAGTCACCATCCTCATGGATTACAAAGAATCCTCAGAGCACAGAACCAGCTCCCAGCGTATGTGGGACCATAGAGTGTGAATACATGTCCATAGAAACAAAATCTGCCCACAAAAAGCTTATGTGGCAAGAATCCTTCCAGTGTCCTGTTCTATATGTTATAATTATTACAGATCGCTGACCTCAGTCACTGAAGTTGTGTTTTGCAGTTAGTCACTTACTGGAAAGCGGCACATTTGTGTGTGTAAATTTATGCAGCTCTATTCAATGTGGATTTAGCACAGGTATGAAACAGAAAAAAGCTGGAAAACAGCCTTGTAGTAAATAATGACAAAAAGTTACAATATACTATTCCTAAATGTCATTTTACTAGCAACATTTACAAGTACTTCAGTAAAATCATTAGCAAGGAAATCCTGACACAGTGTTTTATCACATGCTATCAGTATGCCGTTGAAAGCTCTTTCTTTTCTCATGAGAACATTTAAAAAACAAGTTTTGAACTGGGATTTAAAATTCCCTGTCTATCCATAATAAAATATATATAAAATATTACAATTCCATACTGTACACATATTTTTAAAATATCAGTCCGCATATTAGCTTATGTTGATATTGCTTGTTGGAAAAAGATGGAGGCTGATAGTACTATTTTTACTCCATTTTCACATGTTAAATGACATCAGGAAATCATTCACTAATTACCTCACAAACTTTCCACAGCTCTCTTCTAGTTTATAATTCACTATGGCAGAGGCCTCCAAAATGGTATCTTACAGGCGTCCTGAGAATCAAGAAATTCAGAGAGCTCAAGAAACCACAGGTAATTCACATAAAACTCCTGAAATCCTGAAATGAGTTTTATACTTTTATTATTATTCCGATATCTAAAAACTTAAGCTTACTACATTCTGCATTACCTTTCTAGAAAAAGGTAGTAGTGAGAATCCACTTGGCAATGCTGAGATTTTTCCACTATAAAATCTTCTTATTCTTAGAATACAAAGCTGGAGTCCACCTGTGTTTTCTTCTGTGTGTTCCAGCCTGCACAGGCAGTATGAACTGGAAATTCCACCCTTCTCTCCGTTTCTTTCACGAGCTTTTTTCACAACTTATTGCACTCAACTGGCCTCCTGTTAGACCAGTACCCAAAGTGGCGGACCGTAACAGTACGTAGATTTCCATTATGGTTATGACTACCATTGAATCTCCATATCATTTTCCAAGCCACTTATGGCACATTCCAATTTGTTGTAGCAAACTGCGTTAGCAGTGCGAGTGATATGATTGCCTTAAAAAAAACCTAAAAAACCAACTGTGTCAGCTTATATTAATCCCTCAGGAGAGTGTCTGGAGTACTCTCAGAGTAAAAGAGATGGAGTACTGCATAAATTATATGTCACAGAACTAGAAAAGTGTTGCTTTTAAGGTTATCTATCACTAGGCTAGCCTTGTGATAGAAACCCACTGTATTTCTGATTCTCTGCTTTACTGAAGCTGATTGTAAGCACCACCTTTATAACAGAAGAATTCGAGGGCGGGGGGCGGAGGTAAATAAACCACAAAGACATCTAGCTTCTATGCAAGGTTAAAAAAGCCCAGAAAATTTGGCTTCTGTATGACATCATACAGATTTGCTGCTGGCAGCAATAGGTATCTGTTGCTTAGTACATAGAGTACATAAATCTTCTCATATCCATGTCCAGAAAGAACCCCTGGCATGTATTCTGCTCCTGCTTATCCTACTCTCAGCTTAATATTAGTTCATTGACGTACATCAGTGAGGGAAAATCTGGGCCTGTCACTGGAAGAAGGTGAACGAGAAGAGACAAATTCTGGTTGCTGAGACTTCCTTTGGCAAAGCAGTTAAATCTTGGTTTGTCTTTGCTGAATAAGGACCCATTTGTAAGAGTGTCTCAAAAAGCCTATTGTACCTTATACACACATACTGAATATTAATCGCCTTCACAAGCACAACTACACAGATTGCCATGAAAAGTGGAACACTTCTATGGGTTAATCAAGTGATGGTGAGCAACAGTTTTCTACTGTCCCAGAAAGCAGTTGTTTCGTTCATCTGAGAAAACTTTTGGCTATTTCTTTAAAATATGTTAACTGTTATTTCCCCATATTTCAAAGATTTGAACATAACATTTTTCATAGTCATATGACAACACTTTTATCCTTACTATAAATTTTATTAAAGCCACACAGTATCATTTCCATAAAAATGGAAAGTGATTATCAATTTATTGAAAAAGTACTCCATTTCCCAAAAAATAATATACAACCATTTTGAAAAATCACTACCACCACATTAGTCATAAGACAGTTCTTGAAGGAGTAAAACATCAGCTCTTTAGAAAGACCCCATTACAATCCTTTCCTCGTGGGAGCAGAACAGGCTGCTACATTTCAATGCTTTCCTCCCTTTAAATGCTTCACAGTAAATTCAGGCCGCATTAGGGAAAAGAGCAAAGGGGCATTGACTGCTCCTGCGCTTCAGTCTCTACAAACTGGTGCAAGGCCCACTGCATAACCAGCTTGTAGCACTGCTACAGCAAAAGATTTTGTGTTAACTTGCATTAGACGTTACACTGTCACAAAGAAGAGTCTGGATCATCATATCTCACACTTCCTGTTGATCCTACACAGTACAGTTAATAATAGCTTCCCTGATATTCCTTTATGATCTGGACAGCCAATTTTAGCTCCAGTTAATAAAAGGTGAAAAGGAAAAAAATAAATAAATACAGGTTTGCACTGAGAGGAGCAAAATACTCATTATGCCAGGAATGTCAGCTCCAACATCTCAAACATGCCACACCTGCTCAGGAGCTAAAAGCAACTCTTTCCTATTAAATCGTCACTTAGTCTCTCTGAAACTGAAGTCCTCCCAGAGCCATGTAGCACAATAACACCCCTAGCTCTAGTCTGAGCCTAACCTGCAACTAGCGTTTTAAATGAGTGGATATAAACGCTGACAAGGGAAGAGATGGGAGAGAGAGGAATGAAGCACTGACAAGCAAAATGTCTTTTCAGAGCTCTCAGAGCATATCATGAGTGAAGAGAGAAAGGAATATAGTAAAAGATATAGAAACAGGCATATGTGAGCAAGGGCCCAATTTTCATTTGAAGGGCATAATGCCAGAGGCGAGGGGGGAAAAAAAAAAGGCAGCATTTGTATAAATAAAGGTCACCACCAGTATGTTTAGTCAGTCATGTGAGCTCCATCATGTGCTTAGTGCTAGAAAGTGAGTACTGCTCATACCTATGCTTTTATAGGCAAGTAATGGGTGAAGAATGCTGCTTGCCATCCACATGGACAAGAAACAGGGCAGTAGTGACTGAAGCTCTTCCTGAGTGAAGCCATCAATCTCAGTTCTCCCTGTCAGCTACAGAGAGGTTGCTCAGCTTTTCCATACCCTGCATCAGCCTGTGCACAAGGATTCTTTCTCTTAAGCTCCTTCTAGTTCCCCTGCATAAATCTCATTTATGTAAGCAGTGTACAAGAGCACAGCTTGCTGTAATGGGAGCTGCATGTATCTGCTAACAAACAGCAGGAAAGAAACATGGTAAGAGGACATTTTGAAAAATGTAATATGCAATATTTTTATTATATAGATTTCTGCTTGCACAGTGGAATGAAAGAGAGGAATGAAGAAAGAAGTAAAGAAAAAATAAAAGAAAAAAGGAAAGATAAAAAAGAAAGAAAAAGACTGAAAAAAAGAGAGAGAGAGGCTGGAACAACAAGGTCAAACTAAGAGCAAGTGCTATAGACAAATGATATATCTTGATAACATGCACCGCAGACTTCAGTCAGTCATGATGAACCTGTTCAGCTTGCTCTTGTACCAATACTCCCTCAATATTCTGGAGTTGCCATTGCCAGCTGCCAGAATCAGCTGCAAATAGAACAGCTTGTCAAAGAATATTCTGAAAAGGCGTTAGCTTTTTCTCACGTTTACGGATACTCTGATTTTACCAGGAGTTTTATTTTTGTATTTCTACAAACATTAGAGTAAATGTTTTCTATCCTACTTGCATTGCATCTGCCTTGTCCTCAGTGTGCCCATGAACCCTTGACTCAGCAGCCATTAGTCTACAGCGTAAAAGAGCTGGTATGTGGAAAATCTGTCTGTAGTTGCTTTAGAACAGTAGGAATATTTGGCATGCGCGCAGTGTATTCCAGATCCACATAGCAAGTCAAGGACAACAAAGAGCTTGGCAAACTGGAACGAATTTTGCCTCATAATATCCCTGTAGGGTGATTCAGAATTATCATCCACTTTCAGACACGGGAAATAAGTATAATAAAAGGTTAAATAACTTGACTAAGTCTTGTAGCAAAACAGTGGCAGAGCTGGGATGTGGACTAGTGTCTAAGTAAACTGTGAGTCATGACTGAGATTTTTAAGTACATGTGAGTTTTAGGAGCTCATTAACTAACAAATGCAGATTAATTGTACTGTTTAATACTGGAGTTAGAAGCACTGGTGGGGTAGAATTTTTTGCTTTATAGGTTTGAATAGTTATGCTGCTCTACCTTAACTCTAATGAATATTAATTGCTCTATTTGAAATCAATGACTTTGTGATTGCATAAGCAAAACAATGAGCTATATAAGAATTAAATTTCTTGAAATATAGAAGAACCTTCCCTACAAGCAGCAAAAATTTAAATTTTCCTCTTTTTTATGAACAGCTCTTTAACAAGTTCCAGGCAGGATATCATTATAGTAGATATCACCAAATAGTATTGCATCCTGTACTTTTACTAGCTATTCTCATTATCCTGTAAGCAGCAGTCAGTATTTGAAGAAAAAAATATCTTATTAGTTGGGTGAGATGGGTTTGTTCTGACAAGGGATTTTGTTGTGGGGAAAGAGAGGATGCAGAAAGTCTCTGACTGAAGGGATTAGGAGAGCTTGTTCTCTGCTCTGATCTCTACTCAGTTGCAAGGCACAGTAGCTCCTAATGAGCACTGGCATCCAGCCTTAAGGAACCAGGTAATTTTCCTATAAAAAAGGATGATAGGCTACATTTTGTCTGAATGTCTGTATTCAGAGACTGAGGTGTATGTGGTAAGTGAAACCCAGGTGTATTAAAGATATACTCAGAATCTGATTTTATTGCATCTTTGCCGCTAGAGTCTAACCTGCAGGATAAACATACCCTCTCTGAGAACAAAGCTGGCAAAACGTGTCCGGGCTATGTAGCGTTTCAGAAAGCCATGAGTCTTTGTAAAGCTTCTCCAACTTGCTCTGGATCGACAGGACTGTGTCTGTGAATGCTTTCCAGATTTGTATGTGACAATAAAATATATGACAAATATAGCATATTATATTAATTTATATTTATAGGCCTTATGTTATGATTTAATATTTTTGATAGAAGTCTAAGCAAATTTAAAAAACAACAAAAAATTCATTAGTTTTACTTAATTTTAAAGCCTATTTCACTTCAGTCTTTCATAGCACAACGTCAAACAGTACTAACATATTTTACCATAAGTATTTTAAGTATAAATTTATATGTTATTGAGAAAAGACAAAGATAAAAGGTTTTGTTTGTTTGTTTGTTTGTTTGTTTGTTTTGGCCTGAAGAGGGGATGAAGGCACTGGTTCTAAAATTCCCATCTTTGAAACAAACACAGAGTTATTCAACCCATCAATAAGTCATAGTTAAGAATCAATATTGTAATACACCTCTCATTCCACGGAAGCAGTAACAAGACAAGTAGGCACTTGAAAACAGTGTGGGAAATTAAAATCTCCTCACGCAC